CCACAGCCCAGCAGTCGCGGTCAAAATAATCCCGCCGTGAAGGGGTTAACTTTATAATCTGAGATAAACATTGCTTGACATTTATAGAGAAGGAGGAAACCTTCAGGTGAATCTATATTAATGCTGATTATTTTTTTCTTATTACTTTTTCACTTGAATTATGTCGCGTCCAATCACAGATGACCGTGTCCTGGTCAGGAGAGGACCTGGAGAGCTCCATCTATGACTACGAGATTGGCCTCAGCAGTGACCTCTCCAACCTGACCCCTGACCTCGTGACTTTCGTGTCTACCTCAGGCCATGATCGTTTTGTGATGTACCATCCCCACATCAGCCACGGATCTGTGTTCTACCTGGTCCTGCAGGCCATCAACAAGGCTCAAGTGTCAACTACAAAGGCAGTTCTAACATAAGTTTAACTGCAAATCAGAGAAATATAGTAAAATTTGTCTCAGTTGAAATATAGAGCATGTGGATTGAAGGTTTGCGTCGTAGACCTGAAGTGTTTGCCTCAAGCTTGTAGAAATCACTTAGCACAGAAATCCAACACAGTGTCGGGGAGGGGATTGCCTGTATGTTAATTTGCATAAAAGCCCTTTTTTTTGTCCTTGAAGGCGATTGGACCAATTGTAGTGGATACCACCCCGCCCACATTTGTTGGGCGTGTCTCGGTCCGTGCGGATGATGACCACTTGATTGCTGAATGGGGAGACGATGGCTTTATCGATGATGAGGATACTGGCCTGAGATACCAAGTTGCCATTGGTGAGCGTAAGGATCTAGCAGACTGACCTTTCACAATAATGCCCCCCCTCCATGAGTTTGCAACGCATTGACCAATCACAGTGCGCGAAATCTGTCGACCCAATGCACGTTTGGAAAGGGTCGACAGATTTCGCGCCGCGTGTTGCAAACTCTTGGAGGCTTACTGTTAGGAATTGCCCATATTAGATTCACGATTTCTGCTTCAAAACTTGATTGATTGAAAGAAACTCAGAAAAAGACAGTTGAACAGAAAAATGTTTCGAAAGTTGGGTATATGTCTGGAAAATATTACAGGTCAGCACCGGGGAGGGACCGAAACGCACTCTTACCAAGAGGAGGACGACCTTCAAATCGGCCCCTGTCTTCTTCGGACATCCTGCGCCGCATTCTCCCTGGCTGACCTGGGCTGGCGTCTCCACGGCGATCACGAGTATTACGTGTCGGTCAGGGCACAGAACGGTGCCGGGTTGGTGGCGGTGGGGATCTCGCCTGTCTACAGACACATTGTCCAGTTGCCGTCCGTGGGTGTTGTATTAGATGTTGCACCCCTCGGAGAAGCACCGGATGGGACCTTAGGGGTATGCCCCATCTACTTAAACTTTAATGTCAGTGTGAACGTTGTATTTCTCAATGCTTTGTAGTCATTCACATCAATGCCATTGCAACATAGCAAAACTTTATCGTCCCTCTTGGGTGTTCCATTAGATGTTGCGCCCCTCAAAAATGAACATCCGTCACGTTAGGGGTATGTAAATTAAATTAACCCAGTCACTGATTGTCAAAGTTGTATGTCACATTCGTATTTCTCATTCCAAAATTTATGGACACATCTTGAAAGGAGACAGGTGAAACAACAGATTTAGGGAAAAAAATGAGCAAGTTGAAATTTCTGTTTTCAAAAACAGGTGGCCAAAGATATTGACGTGCAGATGGACACCACGAGCATCTCAGCTCGTTGGTATGGCTTTGAGCATCCCCACCTTGACATCAACTACGAGATTGCCGTCGGGTCAGAAGGTGGCACCTCAGACATCAGTGGCGGCCTCATCGATGTTGGCAGCGCGACCTTCTATCGACTGGAAGGACTGACTTTAACCTCTCTCAAGGTACTCAGGAAAATGAAGAACTGGCTATTTATTTACAGCAACAGGACGCCAATTTTATGAACAATGATTTAAAGTTATAATCCATTTTAGAAAGGATTTTGGAGAGGTTGCAGATTGACGGTACAGTCCCACATTAGCAGCCACTCGTAAAATAATTGAAAAAATTATTGTTGAAAAATATTCTCAGCTTTTAAGGTTGTCCTGGGACTAAACTTTTAAAGAAAATGAAGTTTTTCTTTCTGGCAAGTTGTCATTTCGAAGAGAGCAATGAAAGAAGGTTGTTTCCAATGATATGTATGAAGACACAGTTTTAGAAATTGCTAGTAGTTCATTTTTAACCCCTTCATACTGGGAGCCATCCACAGCCGCGGCTTTGTGTGAGGATTAGTGCATACCACACATTCAGTCTATTCACCATGCAGCTGCTGGTTCAATGGGGCCTGCTGCTGGACGGAGCTTTGCATACTGAGCATACCACAGCTCAGCAGTCATGGTCGAAAGAATCCCGGCGTGAAGGGGTTAATAACGCACGGTGCATGCAAGTGGTAACGCAGTGCATGCACAAGCAGTGGCTATAATAGTTGTACAAAGTCGGTTCGTTTCTGTCTGATTGCATTCGTCTACAGACTTATTACGTGACAGTCCGTGCCACTTCGGACACCGGCAGTGTCAACGTGACCTCAGACGGCGTCAAAGTCATTCGGGAAGGGCTGATACTGGATGGGACTGCAGTGAAAGACGGACTCGGCTGTCATCGGGAAGGAGATGAAGGTCTCTTCTCCACCTTTTCATCTTCTCTCTCTTGAAGTTGAAGTCTTGCCCCGCTGTAATTTGACTTCAGCTGAGCTCTCTGTAGCTGGATAGTGTCAGTCTTTTTTTTAGTCGCCATTGTCAGTGTCAATGAGCAGACGTTCTAAATCGTCAGGGCTGTGGTCGAGTCCATCTTAAGTCCCTGCAAGTCCATCACACGTTATCCAGTCTTAAGCCAAGTCACGAGTTGTCCTAATGAACTATGTCAAGCGGATTCCTTCGTCGTTGTTCATCTTGGTACCCACGACTGGTCTGGTGACTAGACTTCCAAAGTATTTTTGACTGGACTTGTGGTGGGCTCAGCATTAACTCTGGAAACTGTGACACTTGTCTCCTCATTGACAGCTTCTTTTATCCTTTGTGTCATCAGTTCTATCCAACGGCTCATCTGATGCTGATCCACCCTGCCAGGATGACATCCCCCACCAGTCTTCCACCTCAGACATCTCAGCTCGATGGACCATCCCCGAGATGTTGCTGCCCTTTGTGACTCATGTCTTGTGGGCCGTCGAAGAAGAGGTTGAAACTTATACAGGCAAGACTTTAGGAAGTGGGTCTTGTTTGCTTTGTCCTGTGGGCCATGCCATTATAAGGGGGCATCTCAGAAATGGTACACTCAAGGCATGCCCCGTTTAAAACCAAGGACACCATTTATACCAGCCTGAAGAGAAGACCAATAAATGTGTGATTGCGTGAGAACTCACACCCAGTTGCGGACAAAAATAACACATTTTTCCTCAGATATTGCAGACTGTTCGTTAGGTGTTGCATTCTACCCCACCACGGAAGTTAGGAAATCCCAAAATAGACAATTCAAGTTTGACGCATTTCCAGATTGTTAGAGGGTTAAGGCTATCACTTTGTACTTCTTTGGCGTAGATGACGAGGTAGCTATGTCGGAATGGATCCAAGTGATTGATTATCAAGATCTTGGCATGGCCTTCCAGCATGTCGAAGCTGGCGTAAGGTTGAGGGACGGAGCACACATCAGATCCAAGGTTTGAGAGTTGGACTTCATCAATTCCCTCTAACAGAATCAATAACAGTTGTGCTGATCACCCCTGAAGTTAGTGATGCATAAGGGCCGATCCGCGGGGAGGGGGGGGAATGGATACCATGGCTTCAGAAAGACATGAAAAAAATTTCTAACACTCTTGGCCCCCTCCCAATATGTTGGCTTCCCCCCCCCAAAAAGTTTGAATTCGCCCTTGGTGATGCAAAGAGGATCTACCCTCTATGTGGACCTTGGTTGAAATCCTGATTTGACTAATATTTTTAGTAGGACGCGTCCGTTTATTTTCTCTTCAGCATTTGTGTTAGCAGGTTCTTCTTAGGTTCTACAGTGGACTCGTTTCATGTTTTTGTTGCTCCATACTGACTTTAATCAAGCATTGTTTAGCTTAGAGTCATTCCATAACTTTTGGCTACATTCTAGTGCATTACAGGGCTAAAAAACGTCACGCTTTTGGACCCTGAATTTGCAAAATGACCCTTTCGACAAAATAATACTATGGTCCCAGTTTAATGGTAATTTAATTTAAGTTGCTTCTTTATTTAGAAATTGTAATTAATTGAATTGCAGCTCAAATTCTGTCATGGCAGTGTCTGTTTCCTGCCAGTCACCAGCGATGGGTTCTGGGTGTTATCGCGACCTCCCGAGGTCGGCCAGGTCACGGTCAGCGACGTCCGGTTAGCGGACGGCTTGACGAACCTCAGCGTGATCTTCCAGCCGTTTGTCCATGAGTACGTCCGGCGCGGAGACCAGCGCGAGCTGATGGACGGGTACCAGTGGAGAATTGCCGTGGCGGGCGGCGCTGTGTTGAGCGCATGGAATCTGGCTGGGGATGTGGTGATCGCCGGGGAAACAGTGAGTTGGTGCTAACTGTCTAGGGCGCTGTTATATCTCCTCGCATAATGCAATCCCATGAACGAGTTGGCCAGTTTAAATCAATCTTGCCTACCGTTAAAGGATACATGACTGGTTGCAGTGCTCGACTTGACAGGCACTAAAACAGAATGATAAAAGTCATGTAAATTTGTTCAGGACGACACATCCACCATCGTTCCAAGATGTACTTTGCATCAGGGAGATGTTGAGTTTAATAAAGAGGTTTGCCTTTAAACACATCACAGAGCGTACAGTAGTATGAATAAACGTCGGTGTGAAATCCATCCTTAAAAATCCCCCATCATTGATGCCCAAAGTACTGCCTCGATATTACCTTTGCTCTTAGGGTGCAAAAAACATTCCAAATAATGTTGGAGCTCCATGGGACACGTACAGCTCGATTCTACCATTTCCACAAGAAAAAAAGGCTCCAAGCTCCGAAACCATCCTTTTTTCCTTTTTTGGAAGGCCCATTTTATTGCAACGTACAATGGACAGTTAGACCGGCGTGTTTGTCATCAGCTGTCCCTGCGAGGTTTCAACAAAGCTGGTCTCTCCTCCACAGCAAGCACTCAGCTTCCAGACTGCGCAGTGCTTTCCGCTCCCAACATTGTCATAGATGCAGATCGTAAGTTTTATGTCTAATCGCGGTTGTTGTCAAATCAATTTTAATTTATCGGGAAAAGAGGCTTCTCTGGGTGTCATCCTGTCAAGAAAAAGCAGAAAAATTCTCTAGTCGTGAGCATGCGAAACCGTGTTAAACTGTCCAGGTTTGTGTAATGTTTTGTCAACATCTAAATACCTGTTTCTTGAGCAGACGAAGTTGTCCTGGAGCTGAACGCCGCCTGGCACGAGCCGGACAGGGATTATGTCCTGTCCAGGACTTTCCTGGCTGCGGTCTGGCCCCAGCTGCGCCACCGGGCCTACGTCTGGGCAGCCGTCCAGGACATTGGAACGGCCGACTTTGGAAACTTGGACCAGGGACTGCACTTTCCTTGTGAACATCCGATGGCGGAGGCGTGCGGAGAGACAGGTGGGAAAAAGACAGATGAGATGTGTTTTTTTCACTCCTATGCCAATTCTTCTCAGTGCCTGAACAACTTAACATTTTTACAAACTTTTTCATGAAATCGCATTCTGCAGTAAACATTGGCGTAATTTTTTATGCTTTCAATCATTTTCTCCATTTTTTTTTTAAATATGAAAAACATTTATTTACAGGAAAACTTATGGTTTTACGTGCAAGCAATTTGACCCTGAATTACTTTTGGTAACATTTGAATATTAAACAAGGTTAAATGTTCTCAAACACAGATTTGGTTTATTTAATAAAATGAGACTTCAAAAATAACTTGCAAAATTTTGGTTTACAGATAAAGAGTTTGTCAACATCCCAGGACTGTCCCTTCAGCACAGCAACCGTTACCGTGTCTGCGTCCATGCCAACCAGGTAGTCATTGAGCATGAGACGTGGAACCAAACGCTGCCCTCGGTGTCCAGTTGCAGTGACGGCGTGGTCGTCGATACCACCCCACCGATTGCGGGCTCTGTGCGGATGGGTTGGCAACAGCGTCAGAAATTTCAGGTAATGAACTTCCAGGACGTTCCAGATTTCTTTCAGGTCATTGTGTGGCTGTGCGTGCTGTATGGCCATCTAGGCTGGTGAAGAAATGCCACTTAAACATCCGTGCCCCCCTCATCATAGGCCCAATCTGAGTCCATTTCGGATAAGCTCAGTCTGTTCAGTTTTCACATTTCGCCTTTGAGAAAGATGACTCATCTCTCTGAGTCTTAACTGAAGTCGAGTTGTCAAAGACTCATCAGGTCCAAGTCAAGTCCTATTTGTCCCAGTTTCGGGCTCTCGGCTTTGTGTATAAAGCGGGTCCCCCGGCAGCAAGTGGTTAAGGTCACTTTGGTAAAGCAGCAGTTTAAGGTAGATTTTTTTTATTTTTTAGGTTCAGTTTTTGGAAACACCCTGGAACAACTTCGTGAAGTTGTCATAAGTGCAAGAAATCTTCTTAGCAAATCACACGCATGTACCGCCCAAAAAGGTTACAAATGATAAAGGCATGTTATGTGTAATGCTCGCGACTGGTCCTCATCTGGGTTTTTTTTTGCTTAGCATGTAAATTTGCTAAGCATTTTTGGGGGTTTGACAAAATTGGGCTAAGCTGAGACGGCATCTGGGAGGATTCAGAATTTGTTCCTTTTTTTGTTGGTCAGCGGTCATCTTCAGAGTTGGTGCTACACTGGGAATCCTTTACCGATAGTGAGGAGCACGGCTCGTCATGGCAACACACTGGTATCCAGTACTACGAATATGCAGTTGGTAATGAGATTACGTTCATCTGGAGTGTGACAAGCATAGATAATGAAATCAGTTATTGTCTAAATCTTGCAGCTGTGTTCTTAACTTAATCGATGCAGTTGATATTAGCATAGTTTGTTTGACGGAGGTCACAGGAACCAAACTGAGCACTGTTGGCACAAATATTTTAAGCTTGAGTGTGTCGGAATTTTTTTCTGAAAAGCCGATGTTACATGAAGAGTCGTACCTCAATCAAAAAGTGCTCACTTCGCACTGGCCGGGTGCAAATGAATATCCAAACCAATCGTGATGATTTGCACATGCCTGATCAAGTAAAGCAGTTCTACATAAATTGGATTTATAGAAGTCGGATCGGTGATTACAGTGATTAATTATGCTGATTTCAGGTTCGTCTCGAGGCAGCAGCGACGTGAAAGAGTTCACTCGCCTTGGTCTCACGGACAGCGTTATCGTGAACAACCTAAGGCTGGAGCATGGACACTCTTACTATGCCACAGTGAGAGGTGAGCAAAGGAGGGAGAGAAGAAACATTTATGGAGGGTCCCGACAGTTGTTGATCTAAACGTTGAAAGAGGAAACCTCTTTTGAGGGGACAGGACAGTTTTATTAAAAAAAACAGCAACATTTTTCCTGTGGCACGGATGATGTATTGTGACGCCTTTCTCTGAACACGTTTCTGCAGGTTGGCGCCCGATTCAGTAAGTGTTTAACAATTTGATTGGATGAAGAATATTCTTGCCATCAGGAAAACTCATAGATTTCATGTCAATGGATGCGTACAACAGATGTCAACATTTTTTTTCTCAAAAAGGGAGGTATCCTTAGAGCTGTCGTCCTCATCGGCTCAGATTTCCCTTGGGAAAGCTGATTTGATTTCCTGTCAGTGGGTTTTTCCTTGTAAGAATTGGCAAAATCTAAAGTTCCCTCAGGAAAATGCATTTGATTTGCCACCACTCAGCCTATGACTTCGTGGGTCTGTTTGCCGCATCGACGTCCGAGTCCATCATAGTTGATGCCATGCCCCCTACCGTCAACACCAGCTATACCCTGGACATCGGAGGCAGCTTCATCAGGTCAACCACTTCTCTGTCGGCAAGGTAACGATGAAGATTAACGTGGCCAAGAGATTACGATAAAAAGTTTTTTATTTACGAAGTGCAAATTCCACGCAATGTGTGCTATGATGCATTGACAGTGAAGACAAATTGGAACTTTAACATGGTTGAGTGGAAAGCTTATACAGGTGGCCGAGTCAGCCGCTAAACGACTCACGGAGCACAGCCAGAGAGATCGCATGTGTAGAATTTTTTGTGGAGAGAGGAAAACCAGAGAATTTCGGCCAAAAACCCTTGTGGCACTGCGGAGAACTTACAGACAACTTGACTCGCATATGTGGCCCAGGTTGGGAATCCTACCTGGTACCGCAGTGGTTAGGGAAGAGTGCTTTTTTCACACCGGCGGCTGGTGCCACCCAAGAGCACTGACCGAGCCATCCCCACGCTGGCCGTCTTCCACTTTGCATTTGCCAACATCACAAGTGGTTATGTTTTTTCTGATATCTTGCTAATACTGTCCCCTCAGATGGGAACATGTGTTCTCGGACAAGGAGAGCGGCATAGCGTATTACGAGTGGGCTGTTGGGTCACAGCCAGGTCATGCCGACGTCATGCCATTCAAACAGGAGACTTCCGAGTCGGGGGCGAGCGACCCGTCAGCGCCGTTACGCCTGCAAGAAGGTCATTCGTACTTTGTCACCGTCAAGGTGAATACACTTACACTTAAGTTCATTTTTGAATTGTTGTTCTCATACGTACGCATAGCAAAGTATTTGTACCCATTCCGAGGAAAACTGTCCAGGAAATCATTGTACTCCATATTTCAGGCTGTCGATCATGTTCAGCTGATCCGATCGAAGAGTTTCGGTGCCTTCGCGGTCGATGCAAGCCCACCACTGGCTGGCCACGTCTTTGATGGAGACCCCACCCAGGCCCCGGTCAGTCACAGGGACCAAGATTTCCAGGGGGACCGGGCGGCGCTCGGGGCATCCTGGGAAGGGTTCCACGACCCCCACAGCACCCTAGTCGGCTACTCGTGGTTTGCGGGGACGTGCGAGGGATGCAGCGATGTTGTGCCGCGGCAGCACGTAGGCTTGGACACAAGTAGGTCCCCCTCGGTTAAATGCTGAGAAGATACTTCGGAGAAACTTGCAAGTTCCATATTTGAACGAAATGACAGAAATACGACTGTGACCGGTTCACGTCTGCCACGTATTTCATTTCCAGGTGTTCTTGCGGACAACCTCAACCTCGTTCCCGGTCTGACCTACTACGTGACGGTGACGGCCTGTAATGCCGCTGAGCTTTGCACCTCGGTGACCTCTGATGGGGTCACGGTCGATGATTCGCCCCCGGTGTGGGGGCATGTCAGTGACGGTGGTCCAGGGGGTGGGGATGTCAGCTTCCAGTCATCAAGGTGGGTTCCTTGTAGACTGGAACTCAAAAGTGCGGATGTACCTAAGACGGAGAAGCCAGTTTTGCAATTTAGTCAACATCTCTCACTCTTGTAAACCCACCAACAAAATTTCCCGCATTATCCAGAAGGCAAAGATGAGATCTTGCATATTTAACCACTTTAATATTAGGCTGTGACCAAAATTGACAATCAAGATATTCTTAGCCTCGGCTAATTAATGCATCATTTCAAAATTCCCATCGGTTGACCATAGGATCATTTCAAAATTCCCATCGGTTGACCATAGGGCAGGGCCATCCGACCTATAACAGTGGCTTGTGTTGAGTGAATAATGGAGGGGGGTGTTGATCCACTGAAACCACACAGCCTTGTGAGTAATGCAGTGTGAAGGCATTTATCAGGTAGAATTGGCCACTTGAGAACACTCCACCTGATAGTCGTAAATGTATCGGTCGGACCGTTCTGTCCGACACCTAGCTGATTATAATTTTGAAATGGTGCCTGATGTGGACGTTGAAGTAGAATTTTCTTTGAATCTTGTGCTCCAGTGAGTTGAAGTGAGGTATTTTCCTGCACAAAATTGGAGCAAACCCCATCTAACTCTTAAACAGATATGGTGCTTCAGGTTTAATGACTTCTGGCTAGCGCCCCCCGAACAGAGATATTGACAAATGGGAAGAGCCACCAACAAAGGGCTGGGTAGCTCCGTTGGTAGAGCACTGGTACAGTATTCCAGAGAACGCAGGTTCGAATCCCGCTCCAGTTCATCTTTATAATCTTAAACAGATACACGTGAAATTTTTAAGGGAAGGGACTATGAGAAGACGTGCAAAACCAGTGATAGGGTACCAGATGCTTCCATCAGCACCCATCACTTGTGCAGTGCTGAAGAATGTGCGGTATTGGAGAGGTTGTTTATGGCACCAGTCTAATTTCATGCAGCATGTTTTCCCTACCTGACATTTGACGCTCTCGTTACTGCATTAGGTTCTGTAGCAAGTTTAGCAGAGCCTGTGATGGACAATAATAGCTGATTTCTTAATCGTCCGAAATCACTTTCCTCTTCACGCAGTTCTCGCACCTGAACTTGTCCAACTTTACAGTGCATTTTGAATTTTCTTTGTCAAGGCGTGAACTGCGAGCCCATTGGTGGGGTTTCCATGACCCTCACTCTGGTCTCTCCCACTACGAATGGCGCGCCGGCACGACACCAGGAGCTGCGGACATTCTCCCCTCTACACGCATTGAGCTGTCGGAGGATGCTCTGATATTCCTGCCTGCATCAGACCAGCTGCCCGTAGGCAACGATATTTACATCACTGTGCGTGCCTACAACCGAGTCGGTTTGCAGAGCGAGGCTACGTCTAATGGCTTCCGTGTGGACCCTAGCCCCCCTGATGTGGTTAACATACCCGCTGTTGACAAGACGGTCGGGGTGGCTGTTCAGAACACTCAGGTAAAACTGCACTTATAGGTTGTGTCCCCAAGTTGCGGCTGCGGCTAGAAATTACATTTATGCCTATGGTAGCTAGTGGCTAGTGGTTGTAGCCACTTCCCATAGACTTGCGTAGCTCCCGGCCGCAGCCAGGTGATTTGGACATGCATTCTAAAAGCCTTTGCAACAAACAGCCCAGGGAGTCCGTTTCCTCTGTTTTGGTGTAAGGGTTTTTTGGCACGAAGCAGCATTGCTTTGTAAAGACTGTATTGTCGATGTTTTCAATATCTTATCTTCTTCGAGCAGAAGCACTCCCTCAGTGGTTGAAAAGAGCTGCATTGGCCGTGAGTGGTAATTTTGTTGGTAGCGATGCGACCATGACGCGTGCATTTCCTAGTCATTCATGAGCCAGCAAAGTTCAATTCTGACCAAAGGTGCCTCCATTGTTAAGAAACTAGCGCCCTCTCTTGGTCCAGCTCGAGGCCCATAATGAGAAATATTCACAGGCTTGCTTGGGTGGGACTCAATCACACAACCTCCTGTTTATCAGTCCATGTATCTTAACCGCTCATCACTCATGTGAGTTTGCCAAGATTTGCCAGCAAGTGGTGTAAGACAATTGGAAGAAGGAGGTCTGGGCATACTTATTAAAATGATGAACGTGAAGGGAAGAGCAATCTTTGAAACAAATGTTTCCCTCATGCAGCGTGTTTATCTTGAGGCAATCCCATTGGTCAAAAGTTTGTCACATGGGGTGTTGGTGTTGTGCATGAAAATATGCATGAGACTATCCAGTGTTCCACATATTCGTGGGTTTTTGTTACTTCTGCTTCAGGTTCTGCGCGATGTCGTCCGGCTGTCCTGGTGTTTCCGAGACCCAGAGAGCGGAATGAAGGAGCAGTACATCTCTGTCAGCACACACCGCAACGGAGACATAGATATTGCACCTGTGAAGGTAGGAGGCACAGAAAGGATGTCTTGGATGGAAAGAATTGGGATGGGAAATGTTTTGCATTTTTCTGTGGGACAAGATTTTTGAGAGGGCATATTATGAAAAGTGGGAAAATGGTCCAACATCTGTGCAGTTTGTGGCAGAGAGGTGTTTCGTTCAGAGAACCTAGGCCTAAGTCCCTTCCGCAATACTTTTGAATAGGGTTGCAGTTCAACGCAAGACGGCCAGCATATTTTGTGTGTAGCATCGGTTTCTTAGATTTTTTACCTTTTCAGTCCATGAGGCATTTTTCCACAAATGCTCGGTGGAGACTTTTTCTGGAGTTCTGGATTCACTGATGCAGTGTAGATTTGAAGTTGTTAAATATATTCTTTTGAAATCTGTAGGTTGCTGGAAGCGAGAGAGATCACACATTCACTAATTTGACGTTGAGCGACGGGGGTCATTACTTCATGACCGTGGTGGCCTGCAACTATGCTGGTCTGTGCACAGAGGCCAAGGCAGAACCGTTATTGGTGAGAAATATCCACAACATTCATCCTTGTCTTACCACATCAACCAATATGAATTCTCATTTGTCAGCAGTATCCATCGCATCCACTCCTATCCACCGCTTTTGGATTGCAGTTGGTCTCTGTACAGAGGCCAAAGCAGAACCCTTATTCGTGAATGGTATCCACTACATCCACCGCCATCCACCACTTTTGGAAGGCAGAGCCTGTATTTGGTAGCAATATCCGTTACATCCACTCTGTGCTCATCCCACACATCCGCTGATTTGGCATTTCCTCGAGGTGTATTGATTACAATATCCACTACATTGATTACAATATCCACTACATCCACTCCGTGCTCATCCCACACATCTGCTGATTTGGCATTACCTCAAGGTGTATTGATTACAATATCCACTACATTGATTACAATATCCACTACATCCACTCCGTGCTCATCCCATACATCCGCTGATTTGGCATTACCTCAAGGTGTATCGATTACGTGGCTGTTTTGGCGTATGTTTTTGCCAGTCTGCAGGCAAACCCTTTTAATATCCCCAAACATTATTCACTACATCCACTTGTCATACCAAGCATCCACTGACTTGACCCACATGCGGCTGTTAGTGGATCCACTGATAATGCTGTGCTGACATGATACTTGTCTGCTATGTTTGCACAGGTTGACACTAGTCCACCTTCACAAGGAAGTTTCTCAACTGCAGCAAATCCGGAACCAACTACTTCAGTGGTAAGCTGATAATCCGTTCGAGGTTCTTGCACCGAAGAATTGCACTCAACATTGGCACCAACTGATGCCTGTTGAAATTTTACCTATTTGAAAACTTCATAATTTGGGGAGATTTGTGAAGACTATAAGGCAATGTCTGAAACAAATGTTTGGAAAGTTGCTGGCGTAGGGCTAGAGAGCTCACTTGGTAGAGCATCAGTATGGCAGTCTGGTATGTTGAAGGTTCAACTCCCCTCCTTGCTTTGTGCTATTTTTTTAGGAATATTTCATGTATTATTTTTGCAGTTTGTCCGTCTTCAATTGGCTGTCTGAAAACCTTCCATTTTTGTACCGCCCAAAAGCTGTCATACTATGCCTTATGATATTGGATTTGTTTATTCATTTTTTTTTTACTAATCTATACACGGTATTCTGTTTTAAATTATTTCCAGGGCCGTTTTCCAATACTCAACTTCGTCTCTGTCTCAGGCTTCGTTCCCAAAACCAATCCCCGATTGTGGGCCTGAAGCGTTTAAATTACGTTGGATTACTGTAATTTCTGGCTCTCTTGCATCTTATTTGATGTTTTGTGGCACTATTAGACGAATTACTGTGCTTACAGCTTCAAAGTCAGCTAGATAAAAAACAGTTGAAGCCTGAGACGGAGCCGAAGTTGAGTATTGGAAAACGGCCCAGGGAATTCGTTACTTCTCTGTGCCCTACTCTGCCTAGTCCCTTGTACGAGTATGGAAATAAATGTGAATTGAATACAAATGTTATCATAAGCCCCACTGAAAATACTCAGAGAGCGTCACCAAAAGTTAAAGGATTGTCCACTGGTGAGATGTTTTGCTCACAACCTCCAACGCTGCAATCTGTCCATTTTTAACATCCAGCCTGGGGCCACGTCTCCCCCGAGCCACCACTCTGGCTGGATGACGTGGCTGGAGGACTCCAGCACCTCCACCGGTTCCTTAGCCCTGGCCTGGCTGGGATTTGCCGACATACACTCTGGTATCAGCCACTACTTGGTCTCGGTCGGGACGACCTACGGCGGCTCGGAACTCACTCCGGTACGGCTGTGCAATAACCACTGATTTGAAATTTGACACAGAGTGGCATTTGAAGACTCGTTGGTTTTACCTGGCTGAAGCCTTGTAGTATTGCACTCCATTATTCCGTGTTCAACTCGTGCTTGCGAGATGACTAATAATTTCCAGTTGAAAACTCAAAATTGCTCAAGGTTTTGATCATTCATAAAATCTTGTTTCAATTTTTCAAAATCTGTTTCAAGGGAGGACCAATACCAATTGACCACAGAAATGGCAGCGTGCCATTGGATGACGACACACTGCAGACCACCGTCATACCACTAGAGGGCAGCATCACAGCTCTCGTGCCGCCGTATCTCTACATTTCCATGTGGGCTGTCAATGAGGTAAGGTGAACACAGGCCCTCTCTCAAAGCTTGACTGAAAGTCCAGATTTGGCTCCGTTCCTGGAACTACTTATTGGACGAAATAAAAGATTCCCAACTTTTTTCCGCATGAAATATAGTTTGATGTTCCTTTTGAAGATGGGCTGACTGATGTTCAGCCAAAATAGAGGGAATGAAGGGGCCTTTTTGTAGCCTAGAGCTGAAGCTGATGGTGGGGATGATATTTGAATAAACGTCGATGTTACAACAGTTCATTGACCTCCATGCTGGTATACAAATCAGACGATAGTTACAACTTACTGTTTCAGAGAGTTTTAGAGACACTTGATGTAGTTCAAGAGCAGGCTTTGAGGTTAACTTTTCACCACCCTGTTAATAATCGGAATGCAAGATTTCCCTCTTGGGTTTTTTCATTTGCTGTTGGCATTCATCCTGTTTTTAATAGGCTAAAAGCTGAAACCCCGACCTATGAAAGAATTTCAGTAATTGCTCCAATTATTTAAGTCTCCACCTTTCCTAATGTGCCTAACTTTTTAAGGTTGGACTTTCAAGCACCCACCTGCACTCTGCATTTGAGGCCTCTCCTACTTCACCTCACGAGGGCGCTCTCTTGCCACTGCAGCAGTGTTCTGCGTCGACGTGCGAGGGGCACTGTGCATGCCCTTCCAGCAACCAGGCCTGCTCAATGCGACCGGGAGTGTGTAACGATGTCACAAACAGTGAGTCCGATTTCAAAATGACGGGTTAGATGACGTTGAAATCCACAACCCGCCTAGTATCGAAAAGATTGCTGAAGTTACCTTAGAAGTTGAACAGACTTCACCGTTTTCCTTTTTTGTCCTTGGTTGGGGCTCAGCAAAGTTTTGTAAATGTCGGATATATTCTGAACATATTTTGACGTGCCACAAACACTGGCAATTTGGTTTATAAAACCCCAACGTCTTTATAATTTGCTCTGATGGGAAAAAAGAACATGTTGTCATTGTTTTAAAATGACATTGACGGTCCTTCGGTACGAACTCACCGCATAGGCGTGCTGAGTACGTGCAACGAATTTGGTCTGGAATGTATGGTATTCTCATGCGTGATGAACGCGTGCGAGAATCCGTTCGGGAATTCGCACTGTCTGTCTTTCTTTTGCCTTTGAGGGTGCATTTAAACTCGGCGGATTGGCCACCAGCAGGAAAAACACATGCACCTTTATGGAAGCCATCGGCTAGAGGCTATGACTATTTCCCATAGAAGTGTGTGCAACCCTCAGCCGGAGCCATTTAGATTAGACACAGCCTTTTCAGGGCCACTGCTTTCTCAAAAGTTGTGCACAAAGAAAGCAACAGCTGAACTCACATCATTTGAATAACGTTTTTTGTCTGTTTACATCTTAAAAGGCAATCCCAATGCAGAAATTGAAGTTTTAGATATCCTCAACCTCACATTTGACGACGACGATGCAGAAATCGATATCAATGACACGGCCACTCAGTACCTGATGGCTGCAGCATGGCGCGTCAGTGATCAGAAAGGGCTGGGTATCAAGTGGTAAGTCACTGTGAACCGTAAATATATCGATTAGGAATTTGATAGCGATGATATTGCTGGTCAGCACACAATGGCTGTTGTGCGGGAAATTAAGAATTGTGCTGTTGCGAATTGTAAAATGTTTTATATGTTGTGAGATCTCAAAGAAATAAGAGGACATTAGAACCAAGATGGTATTTAACATCCTATTTCTGGTAGGTCTGAGTGCAGCATTGGCGACGACTCCTCCACACCCAGTGACCCAGCAGGCGTCTTTGACCCGGCCACGGAGAAGATATGGTTCGACGTTGGACAAGCCAACCACACCGTCATCACCCTCGCCAAAGGTAATCACCTCGGATACGGAACAAGGGGCCGAACACTCGTAGGTCATCAAGCAAACCAAGAGGGGAAACTGACTAGGTTGGCTTCCTATCAGTTTCCGATTGAGCAAAGATTGTGATAAGTTGGGTTCGAACCTGGGACCTACAGTATGATGAAGAGGTGCTCCACCTATCCTGCTTCCAAGTTGCCTGTTGCCCAACTTGGGCTCCCTGAAGCTAAAATTTGGATACTTTTGTCACAGTGCTTGGTAATTCAGTGCAGTGAATGTTTAGGATTCTGTAGATTCAGTGTTCGAATCCTGCTTCTGAATAAAAAAAATGATTCAAAGTGACTTTTAGTCGGTTTTAACCCCCCCTAGGCAATGCAACAAATTGGGGAAAAAAAGGATGCCTCAAATTATGAGTGCATGAAGCTTTTTTAGTCGGTTCAGTGGATGAAGTCTTTCTGTGAAAAAAAGAGAAACACATGGTGCTGTTTTGGTAAAAGGAACTGTCACTCCCTTTTCTCTATCTTCAGACCACAAACTCACGAAGGGGACTCGGTATTACTTCTTCGTCCGTGCCTGGTATGATGCCGACACATTCGCGGTGTTCAGATCCGACGGCATAACCCCCGACGTCACACCGCCAAAAGTCTCAATGACTTCGAGGTTCAAGGTATCCCAGAGCCGCATCTTTGATTTGTTGATTTGTGGAAGTACATACACAGTAGGATGCATCATACCACTTTCGGTTGCGTCTGTGGCTGTGTATGCATAGCCACAGCAGTGTGTCGGTGATAAAAATGCCACAGCCCTAGCCTCAAATGCCCCATTCAGAAAGAGACAAGTGTAACAAGCATGATTTAAAAAAACAGCCTGTTTGAAGTCAAGTGAAGTGAACTCTCATAGATCCATCTCAGCACGGGATATTAACAGTCGACTAGTTTGAGTTTTAGATTAGCAGTTACTATTCAGTGGATGGAATTGAACTGTCAGTCGAGAATGTTTCTCCTCCTAAGGTGAAAGATCTTACCAGGCCTGACAGCAGCAGAGACGCCGATTACTTGACCAATCCGAGCATCGTCTACATCGCTTGGGAAGGAGCATTCCTGGATGATGCGATGTCCCACTACGAAGTATCTCTCAGTACATATCCCGGAGGTAAACAGTGTACATGCACGCAGTCCTCCCATAACTAGAGGCTCCATCAAATTTGTCTTACACTGCAGCAAAGTATCATGTGGTTGAATCTTGCCACGCTGCACTGTCTGCCTCGATGAACTAAACTGTGCAGGGAAATTATAAGGAATCCTTTCGTTTCTCTGACATCTTTGAATCACCAAGCTGAAGGACGGTTCCCAAGTTTCTTTCCAAAGGGTGAATGTCATGGAAAGACTGGGAACCACCCATCTCAAAGCACTCCTAGGCCATTTTTGAAATTTTTTCTTTGTCTCTTGTCTGTGAAAGCTTCCCCTCAAAGCAGCACAGACAAGAGTCAAAGGCATGAAGTATGCGCATTCATCAGCGCAATGGTAGTCAAAATTGGCTCATTTTCATAATTTAGGCTGTGAAATTTAGCATTACATTTCCAACAAAGATTGACCGAGGAATCCTTTTGTATCCTTGCCCTTAATAGGGGGAGACGTTTGCTATTTTTCTAACCACTCGGTGCCGGCCAGCGAGTTTACAACTTCCTTGGCAAATCTGAACCTTCATAGTGGACTTCGTTACTATGCCAACGTGAGAGCATTCAACAAAGCTGGGCTGCACACGCTCAGAAGCAGTGACGGCTTTGTAGTCGACACACAAAGGCCGTATCCGGGGGTGGTGAACGATGGGATAGGTATTTCTGTGTTTAAGCTCAAAAATTTAGGACATAAGCTTATTTAAATAAGTTGATGTTTCAACATGGAAGGCTTAGCACACCTCTTATATTGATCCAAGTTTCAGTCACAGATCGAAGCTTACATATGCTCGGGAAATCTTTTCCCGTTCAGTTATCATTAAATCTTAATAACTGTAGTACTAGAATGTGGAGAAAGCTACGGATTGCTGTAAAGTGTCTCGCTGATGGACACAAACACCATCGTTCCTTAGCTTCACTGAAAATTCCACACCACACCTTGAGGCTGACACGATACATTGTCGAATTAGTTGTGTCATCATGTGATTTTGTAAAGTGCGGTCATGTGACGTCATCACTGACAGAGAAACGGCAGACTGCTCTTCTTTACAATGCGCATCACTTGATACCAACTGCCATCAGTACTGGCATTCTACAGCTCCGAGTGAAATGGACATCAAACCTGCCACAGCTGGCCGGTATCAATCTGTATTTTCATTGTGCCTTTGCAGATCTCCACGATCTGGAGTACCAGAACACCAGCACGGTCGTCTCAGCCTCCTGGCATGGCTTTGTGGATCTAGAATCCTACATCGACCACTATGAGTGGTGCGTTGGACAGACCTCTAACCCTACAGACGATAGCATCCTTCCCTGCACCGATGTCGGAATCCACCTCTCCGCTTCCACGACTCTAGTCTTACCCCTCAACGAAGGTAACGAGTTTGACATTTCACGTCCACAAATTTTTGTTTACACAGTCTGAGAAAGATATGTAAGAGGCTATCTCACCTTGTCGAATGCACACGCTAGGCGTAACATCCCAAGTCAGCCACCTGATGTACGGCCGCATGATGTTGCCAGTATCTCAGGGATATGCATTGAAAGAACACAGTTGAGAAATGTGACCCAACAAGCAACGTGGCCATTAATCTGGCCAATATCTCTTCAACTGTTATCTGTTTCAATATGCCTTGCTAAGGTCAGTGCTTTTCATCTACCCTCTTGTCGTAATTTTGAAGAACCACTCATTTATTTGCACTGCGTTCTGCATTTTGACCTCTCAATGGACAGGATTACGTTACTGTAACCACACGATTTTCATGTAGGCCTATGTATAAAAATGCATGTGGCCGTACTTGCAGATCATAGTTTTAGAGAGAGTTGATAACAAGTACTGAACTAGTTTCTTTTAATAATTTTTGAAATCTTTAAAAGAATTGGTACTTTCTTTTTAAGTGTTTGAAATCATATGAAAAAAAGATAACACTTTTGTGTGAAACATTTGTACATAAATTTGTATCACAAAAGGAGCTGTACTAATATGTGTGGTATTCATTGAGAGGAATAACCTTTGCCCAGAAATATATCAGTAATAGATCGGTGTTATTTTTTCATTTACATTTCCTCCTCAGCTACTGTACAAATTTTTGTGGTCTATTTTGTGGGCAGGTAATCGATACTATTCTAAAGTTGCAGCTGTGGATGCTGCCGGGTTGCAGTCAGAGATGATCTCCTCGGATGGATTTGTGGTTGATACTTCTCCTCCAGAACCACTAGAACACATCCTGTTGGGGGAGAACCTGCTCACTAATCCATCCTTTGAAGGGATGGAGGGGCAGGACTCAGTTCTTCCCTGGGATGTTGAACTGGGCAGCGAGTTTACCGTCATCACCTCCGAGGTTAAAGCTGCGCAGGACGGCAGCCGTTTCTTGTCTGTCCGCGGCTCCGTCTCCCAAACCTTCCACACTCTGCCGGGCAGCCACTACCAGGTTGTTCTCTTCGCGAGCCATGTCGTACCATCCCACAATCCTTTGCTGAATCAGGAGGGTCACATCGAGGCCCCCGGATTGAATCGCGTCTTCAGGCTGTATGACCAACCAGCTCACGGCCACTCCGAGCAGAGTCTCAGCTCCATCGCATGGCACCAGCACAGGTTTTTCTTCACAGCCAGTGGAGACGTGTCAACTTTAAAAATCTCCTCACTTGGACTTTCAAACGGCATCCTGTTGGACAACATTCAGGTATTGGACAAAAGTTACTCACGTCATGTCCCACTCTCGTCAAAATTACTGTGATAAGTGATAGAATGTCCATTAATTACTATAGGTGACATTTCCTTTATCATATGTAACGACTCATACAATAATACATGTATGTTTACCACGCTCCGTACAAAGAATGTGACTTTGAAAGTCACAATGACAGTGACGTGAGAATGAAAATGACTAAGTAGGACTGTGACAGTGACATTTGTGTGCTACTTGAGCACGGTAGAATACAAGTGAATTTTGGAAATTTTGTAAATTTTAATCGAGGGACCCTTTTGTGCCGTTGCTTTCAATCTTGACAGGTCAGGCTGGTTACCACTGCACCGAGTACCGGGAATGGGTCCGTGGAGGTCCACACCCAGTTTATCCACGGCTGGTCATCTCTCCAGGCCAAGTGGCATTTCGTTGACCCCGAGAGCCCTATTGTTGACTACAGCTGGGCTGTCGGTAAGTTGATCGTCCCACTGATGATTTTGCTCCTCACAGAAAAAAAATCACTTTGCCTGCTCCATAAGGTAAAAAAAGGCTGCATGACGTATTTGGCTCCGCCCACAAAGCATGTAAATCATAACATTGGCACCCCATCCATTTCCAGACTGGAAGTCCAAGACATGCATGTGGCCTCCAAATGCACACTTGTTGAACTTGCGTAATTATTCAGTTTAAAAATGGACTGGTACAAGGCGGCTGCAGATTCTGTGAAAGCCGTGCAGATACCAACAGATAGCCGACCCCTTTTTTCACAGATATGCTCTAAACCTGTCGACAAATGTTACATCATTCAGTTCTTTGTTATGGCTCAATCCCCCTGCTGTTTTTCATTGTGTTGTCAAAGCGCCGTCTTGCTATAGTCACCAGTCCTTCCTTTGGGCATTTACGTTTAACATTAATGTAATATATACCTACAATCAGAGCATGTGACTTCTTCTGACCTCCTGCAGACGCCTTTAAGTTCATCTAGATTTAAATACTGAATGGTTTTCCTTGACACGTTAATTTGACTTCACACATTGTGTACATCGCATGTTAATAGCAGCTTGAATGAACTGAATGAATGAGTCAGATATTTGGCTATGCAGGCAAGGGTGTGATTGGTCTAAACGTCACTAGGGGTAGGGCTTAATGTACAAGGTAAGTGTATTGTTGATTCCTTTCCCCTGCCAACTTTTGTTAGGCACCACAAGGGGCGGCACCCAGCTACAGAGATTCACATCCGTGGGGACACAAACTGATGGTGCCAATACGAACCTCAGCATGCAGCATGGCTCCCGCGTTCATGTCACCGTGACGGCAAGGAATGCGGCCGGTCTGGTTGCCGTGGCAACCTCTGGTCCAATCATAGTTGACTCTACAGCTCCAATTATACATTATGTCATCGACGGTGGTACTGAACAAGGTAGGCCAGTTGATGTCCCAGATGAAATTTTTGGGGGAGGAGGGTTTTGAAGGCAACCAAAAGATTTTTTTGTCTGTTAAATTCAACATAATTTGAGCAGCACTTGCAAAGCTGTGATTCCTTTTTTGGTCATAATTTTATTTACTTTTTCACTGTCAGATATTGACTATAGTTCCGATGACCAGTCTGTGACTTTTAGTTGGTCAGCCACAGACCCCGAGACTGGAATTGACCACTGTGAGTGGTCAGTTGGTAAGTAAATTTTTCCCCCAAGTCACTCCTCAGGTTCATCAAATATACCACGACGAGAAACGAAATTGGTGCTCTTTTAATTCGTGTTAGGTTAAAGACAGAAATTGAATGGAGCTGGTTTAACCAGCAACTTGCAGAGCACTGTACTGGAGACTGTGATCAAATAACAAATGTTTATAAGTGCAGTGGTAAAAGTATTCTCACGAGTTGAAAGATGGAATGTTCCATTCAACAAGGCGAAACAAGGATGATCCTAAAACCATTGTACGTTTTTTACCATCCGCACATGGGCGAATAGTACCTGATGCAGCATGAATGGCAGGTATGATGAATGTCATGTGATGCACGTTCCACCAATCAAATGACAAGGATATCTGTATGGCGGCCATATAAAAGCTCCTTTTAAACTGCGCTGTTTGTTTGACCTTGTGTAGAATTGTGGAGCACCTGTCCCATCTCTGCTACAGTTACAAATATCAGGGGCAAACAGCCAAACACAGTAACTATATCTGCCCTCACAGGCTCCCGTTAACCCCTGGGTGGAGAGCGGCATGCAGAGCTGAGGTGACTTGCCCGAGATTGCAAATGCCGCCACCAGCTGGATTCGAACCCCAACCCTATGATCGGAAGCTACGAGCCATACTAACCTCAAGACCGCATGCCCCCATTGTGTAGAATTGCACTTTGAAAATTCCCAAAAGGGCATAAGCAATATTTACCTCATCACAAGCGCTCTATTAGCGAAGGTCTCTTTTAGAGCTTGAAAAATATGCTGAGTGATAAACTCAGCCTGGTCGGATTTCAACATCCTGCTAACAAGAGCGGATGCCTTCAGCACGGCACTGTTAAGCTTGCTAAAGTCGACTGGCCAATAACTACTGCTATTGCTGGCTTTATTTGTTCACCAGGGTCACAGCCTGGGTTTGCGGACATAAGTCCCATCTCGCAGACGCCTGACGCCGCGTCCATCGTGACTGCCAATTTGGCAGAGGCTTCTGTCGAGGGCGAATCTTTGTACGCAACCGTAACCTGCTACAACCGTGCTGGACAGCAATCTACGAAATCATCCAACGGCATCACCGTGGTTACCGAACCTCCTAGCAACACAGCAGCTTTCGTACTCATAAACAGTGTGTCAGAGACCCCGTACCAGTCAAGGGAGCGGTATCAGTCTCAGCGAGATTCCCTCAAAGCATCATGGGATGGATTTACGGACCCATACGGTATTCAGCATTACGAGGTATGAATCGTATTTTAGTCATTTTAAAAATTACATTTTCTTGTCTGTTCATGCAGCAGTTTAATAACAAAGCTAATTTCCCAAACTACTTTCATTGGTCTGACAGGACTTTGCAACCACTGTCAACCACTTGAAGCTTGGTACATATAGGACCACATGCATATTAAACATGGAACGACAGAAAATAGTACCAATCACAGTAGAGTACCGAAGTGGAAACTTAATGCACATCATTAGGCATGTAAAATGGCTGCAGTGGCAAAACCAGCACATGAACCAACACACACATGTACTCTGACCTCAGGCTTCGGTTACATGACTTCATATGACTTCACAAGTTCACATATCAGCCTGAAGACTGCCAAGAAATTAAGTCAAGACACCCCGGGGCTTGCATTGAACACTGTGACAGCACTTGTCAGGTGAATGCTGAACAGGCACACTCCATCGTGTAATGCTGTCCTGGCTCTTTCCTCGTCAGTGTCTTCTCGGCGGACCCAACGCCTTCGCGTCCTGGAGGCCGTGCGGTTCCACATCACAGACCCACTTGGACTGGTCGGGTCTCAGCCTGGTTGACGATGCCAGCTACACCCTGTCAGTCAGGGCGGTCAACCACGCTGGCCTGACCAGCCGGGCCGCCACTCAGACCTTCTCGGTCGAGTCTTCATGGCCTGCCGTCCACGGTACGTAGCCCAGAGCGAGTACAGTGTTGCTCAGCCTACCCAGACTCTAGGAAAGCTCTAACTTTTGTAATCCTGAACTTTGAACAGAGGACTCTTATAATGCCTAGCTCCACCAGCTCTCACCCTCAATACTGGCCCGATCATCTTGGACCAGTGGCAATATTGTTGACTTTGCTCATGGAAACGAGAGAACCGTACTGAGCCATTACTAGCTGGTTAAACCAGCTCACCCACAGGAAATTCATTGTCTTGTTACTCTGGAAAAAACTTGTGACTGCTAGTCTGAAACACCAATATTTCCGCTGTTAGTACCCTGCCAACGGACCCTTTACATCCACCCCTGTGTATACCAGCCTACCCAGCCCCCCCCCCCAGCAGTGTTTTGGTTTGAGACATGTGTCCATGACTTCTTTTCCCCCTAAACAGCACCGAGCCTACTCAGATCCTCCTGGCTGGGCGACGGGACAGTCGATCTTGCCTGGGATGGCTTGTTCTCCAACCCCTACTCCTCCTCCTTGGTGTACGAGGTATCTCTCGGTACCATCCCAGGAGGTAGTGATGTCATGCAGTGGGTGGAGACCACTGAGACTGGTATGCGTGTCTCCCCGCTGGCTCCCTACACCGACTACCACCTGACATTGACCGCCATCAATGCAGCCGGCTTGTCGCAGACAGTCAATAAGATCCTCAACAGCCGATGATAGCCACATCCTCGTTTGGCTCAGAGATCAAGTTTCTCAAGCATTTGACAACCTCAAATCATTTCATACACGGCGAAATAGATCTGATCTTCAGACAGAAAAGACATCGCGCAATTGCATAACTGACGGAGACAATAGAGATGATTACTCCGACATCTTGTCCAACATGAGTTTGGGAGCCATCCAATTTGTGGTCATCATTGTCACAAGTTTACAGACCCCTAAGCTTTGAGGAAGGGGGCCCTGTACGTTTTTCAAATGTAATCTAAAAAATACAAGTGATAACTTGTAGAAAAACAACCTTTTCCCTCTTTTTTCAAAAAGTTTTTACTCACTTGGAGAGGGTTGGGCTACTGGAAAAAAAAATGAGATGATGAAAAATGCACACTTATTTCGCCGATACATTTACAGTGTATCATTGGCACATTTAAGTGTCAGTTTTTTACGGCTATGGCTATTTGTTGCTATGCACTAATGCCGAGACCATAGCCGGAGCCACAATGTACTCGATTTTGGAGTCAGCCAAAGCCTCAACTCCAGGCACGTTGGGAACCTATTTTTAACTTAATAATTGCAAAGTTGCCCCAATTTTTCCGATAACAAAGTTTTTGTAATACTCAGAAATACCATGTGTGTGTTGTAAAATTTTTTCATAACTCAGCATTATTTGAAAGATTTAGTATCAGAGATATTTCAAATTGTTGCAACTCATAGTATTTTTTGTGATAGGCAATTAAATTTCCGTCCATGTTCTGTGCTGAAAATGTTATACTTGTATGTGACATCAGACAATATGGATAATGTATATTTGACAGAATTATAAATTTTGTATCAAAAATAATGTTTAATCGAAACTGTTTAAAGGGAAAAAAGGTGGCTGGAGACCATAATTTATAACCAACCTACGCACAATGTGACTCTTTATGGGGCAGCGCAGACATCCATTTGCACAGACAAAATGGCACTGAGATACCACGCCAGTGGAAACACGGACGTATATAAAAAAACCTGGACTTGCAACGCCTTTGTATGAAAAAGAAGCCAACCAGCGGCCATTTTACCGAGCCGAATACAAAGGCGTGGGTTGGCTTCATACTATTGACGTCAGGAAGAACAAAGGCGGGCATTACCAGGAAAGCTTTGCATTCGGCTCGGTAAAATGGCTGCGAGTGGATTCAATGACTCTATAAGCTGATGAAGGGCATTGCGAGTCCAGATTTTATTATACACGTCCGTGAGTGGAAACAGCAACACGCATCAGCCAGTCCGAGGATTGGGTTACGTAATCTTTTCTTTGATCAGTACGAACGCGCGTGCTCATTGCAGTTCTTTTCACTGGCGCGGTAGTGTGGTTGCTACCTGCTATCCGCTCCAAGCGAACAAAAGAGGGCAGACGAAGTATATGCGCGTTTAACACGGATCATGCTGAGTACGCCTAACTAATTTATTCCGGCATATATGGTCTTTGCGTACCCGCAGAATGCGTGCAAAACCCCGCTTGTAACCACCTGTCGTTCTTTCGCCGACTGGGGGTGCACTTCAGCACGGGGCAGATTATGTGAAACTTCCGGATGTCCGCCCTGCCGGCCCCATATCATGGAAGTAGGCCCACATAGAGGTCGACGTTCATTAATGTACATCTGTATAATGTATTCAAAATGGCATATTTATGGCTTTTAAAAATTGTTCGATGGTGGAAGGGGCAGGCCATGCTAAGAAACGGTGATGTCGCACGCACAGGAAAAACTACGATTATAAGGTCTTTTTACATAGCACTAAAAATTCCACGTAAATTAGAAACTATTAGCAAACACGATTTATGGGATTTGCTGAAGAAAAAAAATGAACAAAGCCAAAAACCTGAGTGAAAATGATCATCGAAGTCGCACCGCTGTACATTCTCAATGGCCCGCTCATACTTCCTGCCACCTAAGGCCATTTGTGGGCATGCGGGCATAAGTATGAATTTATTAGTGAAGGGGTCTATGCCCTTGATCATCCCAGATAGATCATTGATGCCACCGGCAGCCATCTTACAATGCCAAATACAAAAATAATACAAAGGTGGGCTCGCCTTTGTCAAACAAATCATTGTGGCAATAACAGTTAAAAGGACATGGAAGTCAACGACGACCTTATGATTCGGCACTGTAAGATGGCTGCTGGAGGCTTCAGTCAGTAAAAGAGCATTGGAAGTCTAGGTGTTATTTTGTAATGATGTCCGTGGATGCAGTACCCTCTCAACAGCCGAACAGCACCGATCAAACCCGTTAGCTGGCTTTAGGTGGTAGGTCACTAGGCAAAGAATTACTTTTTACGCGCTGAGCGAGGCCACCACATTTCATCAGCCGGCGCCAACCTCGGTCTTGATGGTCTGTGTCCTTGAAGTGTGATGAACATGAGAACAAGAACAAGAGAGTATTCGCCTTTGGTTGACAAACTTTTGCTATCTCTTTCTCAGTGAAGGTAATGATCAATTCCAAAAAGGAAATCCCTTACATTTACAAAGTAAGTTCTAGGGTATGGACGTTGGCCTAAGTCTCTCAATGTGACCGTCGGATGTGGAGCAAGGACGCCGAGACGTTACTGTCTGTTCACTTCAAGTTCTTGTCGGAGCTGTGTTGTGTGTGCATGAACATCAGGTCAGAACGAGGCCGAATTTCAAGGTTATTTCTTAGACTAATGACCGAATGTGCTCGAAGCGTACCCAGAGCCTATCGAAAAGACTTTATCTTAGCACAGTTACCTTTTTTGCTCAGGAAAACTGACGATTTTCTAACCCCAAGCCTACTGTCCCAATTCCCGTGCCCGAGCACTTCTCACATCGGCGCGGCGTGTAGCTTGGGTCCAGAGTCAAGTCGTGACGGTATAAGGGCCGCTTGACCGTTACTTTCGCTGATGAGGCACTAAACGTCATTCTTTTTCACTGTGTCACTTAGGCCTACCGGCGAAATCTTTGCCTACATCCTAGGCCTATCCTTTTACCTGCCTATTTTTGCAGTTAACTGCCTAACACGACGGGCTTTTGGATTGTCATTCACGAAAAGTGATCCGGGAAAACTGGAATGAAGGCGGCCCATTACCGACCGTGGAATGTGGAACGTGTAATGTTTACATTGCCGCTAGCGTTAAGGCGATCGGTTACGTCAACAAGGTAAGAACAGCCAATGGACTCTCCCGATTTAAAGCGATCACATCAGTTAAGTACCCTCTGGACAGCCAAACAGCGCTGATCAAACCCGTCAGCGTTGGCTGGCTATAGGAGGTCACTAGGCAAAGAATCACTTTACACGCTGAGCGAGGCCATCACATTTCATCAGCCGGCGCCAACCTCGGTCTTGATGGTCTTTGACCTTGCTGTATGATTGCAGGGCATTAGAGGTGAGCTTTTGTACCTCCATGGTTAAGTTCACCAGGCCGGAGATATTGAGAATCAGCCAAACTGATGTGAAAGCTTACCTATGTCAAATCTGCTTAATAATTGGCCTTACGTGGGAAGTGCACGTCGGATGTGAACAAACGATGGCAATATCAATATTACACGGGCCTGTATTGTCAGAAGTTTTAATAGATATCCTGTCGTTATATGTGCTTTGTTTTAAAACATGTATTGCTCGGTAAAGACTCGACCGTTTTCAAGAAGCCTTTCAGTAGAGTTTTCCTTTGCCATTTCGTTAAATTTCCAAGAAGGAGGGCTGATGATATTGACCTCGAGTATTTACCACTCTCGTTCCGATCTGGCTCCACTAGTGAAGCTACTTCCGATAGTGCGCGGCCGCAGATCTAAAAAAAAATCTCTATTTACATCTCTTTCTTTGGTCACTGGAACGGTCTGGACGAATGGTCAGCATTGCCTTGCATAATTCTGTAAAGGCTTTGTAGCTAGTTACACAATACTTTATATACTGCGGTTACGGCGCCAGCGGTCACGTAGGCCCAGACCAGCCTTCCATATACATTGTATTGCTACATGTATTCGAATTCGGTTCAGCTTGTACACGTATTACCGTAGGAGTACCACTGCAGTACTGGCATTGTCTGTTGAGAGTCGGTTTAAAAGTGTCCGGGCGATGTTTTCAGTGGAGTTTATAAATAATCAGTCCTGTTTTAACATCATTTCATTTTTCAATCCCGACATTCATTCTTTTTATTGGTGCCGTTTGAAGGGCATAGTTGTGATATTTATTAATTTTATTCTGATGCAATTTGCATAATGAACATAAGTGTGATGTCACTCAAGGCACCGAAAACCACTAACGTTTCTTAAAGGTCAATCTGCACTAGATTTAACTGGAACTTTTGGGGGTTTTATTGTCGTAAATTTGGTTTTCAAAGTTTGGTTATTCGGTGGTGTTTCAAATTTATGCAGTTCTTGATATTATCCCATAAAGGCAACTAGTATAATGGGCAACGTTTCCTTACAAACATTTTGACGGAGCTCGACTTATCCCCGGTTCCCAATTTCGACAGAAATCCCCCAAGCTGAGCAGTGTCTTCCCGTAATGACATCACAACAATGCCACCCTCACTTGTCAGGAAAAGCATGAATGAAGCATTTTGGATTCTTTTAAAGGCACACTCGATCCTTCTTGAGGACACCCAAAAAGGAACGCGTTTCGTCGTATGTTAGAGGAATGAATTTCGCACAAAACATGTTCCCAAATAAAACTCATGGCGTCGACTCTTTGCAAGTAAAATATTTATCCCTGAGAAAAGCAACCAAATAAATGGCATGCGGCAATGACGATTGCATTCAGGTTCAGAAGTCCTATGAGAATAGGAAATCTCATCGAAAATGTCTGGCATCACCATTTGTACAACATAAATTAATGGGTCCCTGCATGCGTAGGGCCGCAAAGTCAAGATGAAGACCTGAAACTGAAGGCTTGTTTACAGATACTGCGGGCCCGATGCATGCAGTACGTACATGTGCATGTACAGTACTTCCCCGTAGATTTGCCCATACTAAATTGTGACTATAGGCCATAAACGTCAAATGCACACAAGCCCAGGGACACGGGGCTGTTCAGATACCGGCATCCAGGGTAGGGTCACTCGGAAGTACGACCACATCCGAGAGTTGGTGTTGACACTCATGCATTGAAAGGAGAAAAAAGACACACAAATCAAACAACGCAGAAACCAGGAAGCAGTGATCTATTACCTAGTAAGTGTCACACGATTTTTATCCTCTTTCAATGGCGTCCATTTGAAAACCTACTCCGCTTTTCCTGCTGCGCAACCTTTTTTACAGCTCCATGAGCGAGCCTACCCTGTGACGGTGTATTGCGGATCTGCTTGGGCTCTCATTTAATAATTATGCGTTGGTGTAATTCCGTCTACGGCCGCGTGCACTCACTCGGAAATCGTTTCGGCAGACGTGGACTGCGGAATTCCACCAGGTCATTCAACAAATTGGCCTACAGCGGCACGGGGTTCGTACAATGCTGTAGAGGTAGCACTTTGCTCACCGTACTTGTTTCTGTACACTAACTCAGGGTATTTGTAAAATCATATTGAAATCAGAAGAATAGGCTCTGTTAGGGCTAATCGAAGTGATACGCGGCGAGGTCAGACAAGATGGCGGCCGCTGACAAGAGCTCCCCGGCCAAGGAGGGTGGCCGCAGGGGTGTGGTGATCGTTCTCGCGGGACATGTCAACATGGCGCTGATGCTGGGCCTTCAGCGATGCTGTGGCGTGCTGTACCTGAGCTGGCAGAGTGAGTTCAACACTACCGCCAGGGAAACAGCGGCCGTCCAGAGTTTGTTGTCGTCTTTCTCGTGCTTCAGCGGTAAGACAAAAATAGTGACAGGCCTCTCAGCCCGTACATACTGTTGCTTTTCGAATATTTTAGCCAGTTATTAAAACATTACTGCATTTTAATGCTACAGACTGGTACAGACTTTGCGTGTCTTATAATAACCCTTTTCGACGTTCGCAATGCATTATGGGTTTGGATGACAAATAGGCCGTGCATTTTATGCATAAACATATGGGGGAAGTGAACGAGTCAGAAATCAATTTTACAGTTTTATTCAGAATATTTCAAAGTATCTGCTCATCACCTCACAGATGTATGCGTAGTATACAAGGAAGATTTGCAAAATAAATAATTTTTCAAATGTTTGTAAGAAGAAAAATCACCCCTAATTGTCTGTTTTTAAAGGGCACTAGTCATTCTAGGCTGAAAATAACGTGATTGGTCAATGCGGGATGAATGAGCTACAAGTTTATTGGCCAATACTAGGGCATTAATATTCATGATCGATCTTGGTTAAAGCAGGGCGAATGACAAAAACTTCTGTTGTTGGAAGGGATTCCCCAAATTTTTCTTTTCTGCCATGCTTGAAACTTCAAAGTTTGTGAATATCTTCATCCCCAATCTATACTTCAACACTCAGTGAGAAGAGGAGGACTTGAATTGGAATATGTAATAAATTGGAAGCAGATTATCGTTTTGCGGGTACTCTTCTCCCATTGGGTTGTGCAAACCCATAATGCATTGCGAACGTCGAAAAGGTTTTTTCTACCACGCGCAAATCTGCAGCTATCTATGCGTGGTTTGCTGTTGCAGGTTGGACGTAGTAAATCCAGGGTGGGGGCTATATGTCCCTCAATTATTAAACAGGGGTATTCCATCATCCTTTCAGTGTAGTTCTTTTTTTTTTGCCAGGCCAAAATTTACTTTAAAAATATGCGTTTTATCACCCCATTCAATCAAGAGACAAAAGTACAAAGGCAGTTGATAATACGTTAGTGTGAGATTGAGTAGTGGTTGCAGAGAATGATGGATCGACGGATCGCAGGACCTGATCGCTGATATAGACTTATATAGACTTATAGATCGCTGATATTGTTTACTAAATGTAAACAATACCACCACGTGTGGACCGCCAAGTTGGCTATGGTGATTGCATATATATTCTTACGGGGAGCTTCAACCACGTGCAATCGCACGTGCGAACGCAGCATGCTTGACTCGTTAATCTAGAATAGGTAGATTACCATCACAACACTATGCACTCATTACCATCACAATACATCATAGGTCCAGCACGATCGTGACATTACGGGAAAAAGATCTATTAAGATGCTTTTCACACTTGCAGTCGTTTCAGTTATCGATTTTAGGAGCTTACTATACCTTCATTTCACCAATGTTACTGTAGGTTTTATTGCGAAAAATAAAGAAAAAATGCGATAATACCAGGGAATTTAATAATGTATAAATAAATAAATAAATGAAAAAAAAATGCGTGGATCCAACGAAACCCAATTTTATTGAGGGGGGTGTCCGAGGGACGCCAGTGGCATGGTTTCCAGATTCCCCACCCTATACCAGGCAAGATATGGGACGGGGGTACCCCCCCCCCTTACCTGTCCAATCCCTATACACACTCTGGACTATTGTTACCTAACACATCCCCCTAGAAGTCTGTAAAGAATTCCTTAGATTCCGATCAAACACAAAGGTGGGGAGGGGTTCTCCCCGTCCCATATCTTGCTTCAAATGCACCACCCTTACCACTTACGCCATCTCCCCTCACTCGCCAACACAATTTCGCGCGACTGGTTGCAGCTTGCAAGTCGGTCCTTTGGCTAGAGCAGCCGTCTTTGGGACGATTATCCACCATGAGCAGGAGCATCCCCATCGGTTGAAAAGAACCACGTTGATGGGGAATGTTTATTATTGGCATTGTAGCGACGTGACCGTAACGTACTTTATTTCATGGTCGTTCGCTATATTCACCGCCCAAAAGAGCCTGCCGGGAAAATTGCGCCCTCTTGTGGTCTCACTCGGGGCCCGTGTTTTAAATTCAGTAACAACGAATGCTGGAACGAATTTGCATCCATGTGGAGCAGATTCAGAAACCCTGTAATTCATCTGTTGTGCAGACAAGCAATAATGTATCGTACATGCTTTGCTTTCGGTGGCAGTATTTCCGGGCGGACTTGTAACGCGGCGCTTCGGTGCTCGGGTCTCGGGAATGATCGGCGGATTACTGATAGCTCTTGGACTTTTCTGTAGCTGCTGGGTGAGCGACATCAAACAGCTTTACATCGCAGCCACGACTACAGGTACCCTCATTTTGATTTCCCATTTTTGATTAATTTATTAATTCATAAGTCCACGATTGCAGGCGTTACTATGCTTATCATTATTATTTCTGTCTCGACAGGCTTTGGTCTGGGATTTTCCTTTACGTCAGTGATTGACGCCGTCGCCACGCACTTCAAGACGAGATACAAGACCGCCCACGCAGTGGCATACTCCGGAATGGGGACGGGAATCATAGCTCTGCCGCCTCTCCTGCAACTTCTCGTGGACAGCTATGGGTGGAGGGGAGCCGTGCTGATCCTTTCGGCCATAATGGCGGACATTATGGTATGCTGCGCCCTTTTCCAGCCCCCTGCTCGGCGGAATCCGGGGTCGCCCCGTCGCCAGATCAAACAGCCAGGGGCAGGCCTGGGCTGTAGTGACGCAGATGCCTCGGGCTCGAGTAAGAAAGACTGTGAGATTCGCCAGGGCGACGGAGCCGCTGCGGAAGCCGGCCCCGTTCCGGGGGAGTCGCTTTTGGAGACTTCGCCTGGACTAAAAGATGGAGAGGGTGACACCCAGGAATGGATATTACCAACCCACAGAGAGACAGTTAATCCTAAAGCTAGTCTGTGGAAGAAGGTGTCCGCGTTCTTGGGACTGAGTGTCTTTGTCAAGAGCTACCGGTTCACTATGTTGTGTCTCGTGCAGACGGAGGTGAACGCACCGTACACGGGGTTCATCCAGTTTATTATTCCACGGGCGGAGAGCACTGGTGTGTCGCCCTCTGCGGCCGCCTTCCTCATCAGCCTCCTGGGCATCGGGGGCCTGCTGGGCCGCCTGGGCAACGGGCTGCTGATCAGCTGGAAGGTGTCGGCCGAGACGGTCATCACCATCTGCTTCCTCTCGGCCAGCCTGTCGTCTCTCCTGCCCGTCCTGGACGGCTACGCCTGGCTGGCAGCCGCCTCCTTCGTGCAGGGCTTCACCGTCGGGGCTTTCCACGCCATCCAGATCGTGCTGATCCGGCGGTACGTGGGCCTGACCAGGCTCGTTCTCAGCACGGGCCTGTGTCACCTGGTCGTGGGGATCGGGGTGCTTAGTGGACCCGTAATAGCAGGTAAAACAGAAAGTCTGCCTGTGAGTAATACTTTGGCATGCCTGTTTTGGATATGAATTGAAGTCGGTCTGTATACCAAATTGCTTTTAATGGTAGAATAAAAGCTTGTTCGTGCTGAAGGCAAACATAAAGTGAACATTACCTCACAACAATTCACTAAATTTGCCGAGTTCAAATAATACTGCTTTTGCAAATTTGCCGCGAAGATTTCGCCATTGGTCACTTTCCCGGCAAGTCACTTTCCACCAAGTGCGAACCAGCCTTTTACATGCGTTAGCAGGAGAGAGAAATTAGAAAGTCAAATAAATGACGTACGTTTTAAATTGAGTTAAGATATTTCATTTATGAAACCTCGAGCGAAGTTACTGGTGACCTTATTATATCCAATGGAGTATTCTAACCCTACTTGATTCCTTTTGATCATGTTGATGCCCGTCTCTACCTTGCGAAATTTAGGAGACTTCAAATAAACCTTTTCTCACCGACTTGACTTCCCACAAATCGGTTTCCCGACACCAACATTAAAACTACAGTACAATTACGTTCCAGTAAGTTGGCTTATAAAGGTCACCTTTCTGTTGTTTTAACCCAGGCTGGTTGTTTGACGTCACCGACAGCTACAAGACGATCTTCTATGTACTGGCAGGAATGTACGGCGCCTGTGCGTTGCAGATGTTGCTTTTTCCCATGTTGAAACGAGCAGAGCCCGGAATTGTCGTCCAGCCGTGGGACGAGTGATTAATGTCATCGTGTATATGCAAAGTCTTCTTGAATGAATACTAGAAATGGTTGCTGGTGTGTATAACCTGAAACCGTTTGCAGAACACAGCGACTGACAGTAAAGAAAAGATGTGCCCGTGGAAGTCATTGTAGAGGATTTGGGTGGTACGCCATCTTGTAGGGTAGTTCTTTTATTCCACAGGATAACCGCCTCCGTGCTCATCCCATGGAACAAAAGCACTGGCCTGCAAGATGGCAGTTATGCAAACCCTCAAGAGATAATGACTAAAATTGCTTTCCGCCAGCACGAATATCACCGGTGGTAACTACTTAATTCAAACGTGTTCTAACGAGAGCTTGAAACCGGCAAAAGGGCATGTTTGCTGGTTCTCAATGTGTGTGATCAACGTTTACCATCCCGCATGGGGTGATGATGTCAAGTGGTCCTTCAATTTGGCATTTTTTTTCTCACGTTGCAACATTGAACGTGTATACTATAAAGTAATCAGAGGAGTGGGGCCACAAATCCGTTGATCTCATAGTCGCGATACTTTTGCCGGAAGAGGGATCTAACATGCGCTCACCATCAGGGAACAGGATTGCCCCTCAGTAATATTGCTTCTTATTTGGTCACCGGATTAGTACTAGTACACGACTACCTCACGGGATGTATGCGTTTCGAGTGGCTACACTCTAAAAACACCCGGGTCAGATTGACCCACAATTGGGTCCCATTCGGCGTGACCCTTTTCTCGGTCAAATTATGACCCAGAAAGGGTCAAATACGACCCTAAAGGGGGTCATTTTTGACCCAGAAAGGGTCACGGCGAATGGGACCCAATTGTGGGTCAATCTGACCCTGGATTTTTTTTAGAGTGTATCGCAGTAAAAGCGAACATACAATACCAGCCCATGAAATGGCATCCTTTTCTTTCGATTAACCACATTTTCAAATTTGTTTTAATATTTTAATCTTCACTTCAGAGCCCAAATGGCTTTCATGTTAATGCAATTTTGATCAGCAAAACTGTGATGTCACCCTAGGCACATGAACTTAAACCCTCCATTGACTTGTGCACCAAAAATGCTGGATTTTGTTTTAAATTATTTTGCTATCGTAAATTTTCATTTCTTTGGTAAACAGTTGGGTAAGTTGGCGGCAAAAAGCCAGCAAACAACCTTTATTTAACAATATTTTCAAAGAGCAAATTTGGGAAAAAAATGTAACGAAAACAGTGTCTTCCCGATTCATATCAGAGCCGTCAAGCCCTCACTTGTCCAGAAAAGCTTGGACAGTTTAGAATATATAAAAAAGTGCACCTCCAACATCCTCGTCTCCACAAAGATATCAAGCAGTTTTTAAACATTCAAGAAGAGTAGAAATATGCATAAAAAGTGAATCTAAGATTAATGTGTTGCAGGGATCCTTAGTGACGAAATGGTGGGGCTATAATCTGGTAAACCGGAATGAAATTGTCCCAGATGTCAATTTGAAAACCTTATATTTTCTAATGAGGAACTTCATAACATTTCTTAACGATTCTCTACTAATTGAGACAAGCTCGTGGATTGCTGTACGTGGACAAGGCATTGTTTCCCTTCGTTCCGTTGGACCTTGTTGACGGTGCCTCGTTCCCTGCATTTATCTTACTCGGTGTAATCTGTTGAATGGGGTGGTGCCAGACTGTTTGGAGTTCCAAACCTCACTTTAATTGTTGTACAATGTTACTTATTTGTACTGAATTTTCATTTCGTTGCTGTGACTTAAACTCTCGGGTTCCCAAAATAAAAAGTTATAACCCCTCTGTCAATTCAAGATGTCCGACACATGTATACCGTCTATACCACAGCGTTCCGGCGCATAGAGTGCAATACTCTTGGGGACCAGTTGAAACAAAATGCAAAATATTGACTATATCGAGGACAAGAAGTGCGCTTTTTTGTTGTTTTTGGGTGCCCGTCGTCTGTTGTAAAGCAAAACAAGGCCCTCAGAGTTGATCAAGATTTGGCGCAAAGTCGAGGATAAACAAAATACGAGTTTCACATTTCCATTCTGTTCTTATGTTCACGTGTTTGCGGCTGATGGAGTTTGTATGTGGGGGGAGGGGGCTAACCCCAACACACTCAAGGGCGGGTCCGTAGCAAAAATGGGGGGGGGGGAATTGGGGGCCTCAAGCGTGGATATTGCGCAATCTTAAAAGTTCTGGACTTACAAAGAAGTATATGAAGTTTGGGTTTTTACACGCATTAAGAGGAAAGGGAATAAAGGGGCCCTCCAAAATTGCCTTCAATTTCCCTTTCATAGAGGGATTTCACATTAGTGCCTTCTGCGCATTTCTGCGTCGAAACCGAGGCTCTCTGTGTTGAACTTCGTCGCGCGCGCCTGCGGAGTCCACACAGTACATGGAGTATCCGATTCGTGTTTAAACCACGCCCACTGCACGAGATACACGGCCATCGCAGGTGCGTTAGTTCGCGGTCGATTGTCGTTATTTTTTCTTTTGATTTTACGTGTCGAGTCATCCTGAAAGACTCTTCCACAAAACTTTTCAGCCTGAAAAGTCTGAATTTAACATACCTTTATGTATTTTGTGTTTTAACTCCTTACTTTTTAATCGTCTGATCGTATTAAGAATTGAAGCTGACACATACAGCCTCGTTTTCAAACGCAGAGGTGCGCAGATCGACGCTAAAAGCGTGGTATTGGGATCCCTCTATTGGAGAGCGCCACCCCTCTCCCATCCATCTGTTAGTGGACTCACGAATCTACCAATACACACGGCCGTGCTGCTCATGCATACTGACTCGTATTGTTTACAACGTGTTCCACACGATAATGATTGAACAATAGAATCAAAGGTCAAAGGATTTTCGGACCGACAGTTGTCTTATCCAAGAGAATGTGTATTTACTTTGCCGCTCCTTGAAACCCAGCTGGCCAGATATTATCTGCTTGCTAAACCGTTGACCGTGCATGACGGCCTATAGACCTGTTCTATATTGGACTCTGTACAGCAACTGTACCAAATGTTTCGGTTGGAAACTTCAACTTTGCCACTCGAAAAACCGAAACATATCCGCGAGGAATTACCGCATTGCTGCTGTCATTTGTAGGGAGGATCTGCAGGTAAGGAGACTGTTTTATGCTTTTTCATGACCCACGGCGTAGCATGGCTCAATGGGAATGCTGTGTATACCTTGACCGCTTGTGCTCATAATACGTAGCCCTTTGTTTAATACGTTGCACCTGGTTACTTTTTGAGTTTGTTGCTAAAGTGTGTCGTTATTTCTGTTTGATAAACGGTTGATAAAGATTGCAAGTAATAGATTTTAACACTGTGTTGCAAGAATAGACCCGTGTGCAGTACAAATTTGTGGCTTTGTGCGAGTCCACTCCATGTATTTTGATCAACGCAGTGCCAGACTGATGCTTTCGTAAAGTATTTTTTTTTAAAATTATCTCTTGAAGGCCTGAACAGTCCGGCACGTGAAAAGATATCGATAGTGGCTTGCATTCCCTCACACCATTTTGTTTTGTCCAGTGTGTCAAACATGGCCAAACCGTCACATACGGGGCGGCGGACAGGGCGTGGAGCAGCGGAAGAGCCGCCGGAAGGTGGCCGGAGCATAGTGGTGGTCATCGCGGCTCACCTCGTCTTGGCGATCGTGCTGGGTCTCGTGCGGAGTGCAGGTGTCTTGTACCTGAGCTGGAAGGAAGACTTCGACACCAACGACAAAGAAACAGCAGTGGTTCAGAGCATCCTGTCCTCCATGTCAAATTTCGGTTGTAAGTTCTTCTACCCTATTTTGTCGAACGGTACAGATCTGCAGGTTTGGTTTGAACACACCACGCAGCGTGTATGGAGAAATAGAGGAAATACGATGGTGCACAAAATGGTTTGCATTTTTTTCATTCAAGATGAATGCTGATTTTGGGGAGTTTTTGAGAGTTTTAAGCGCTTGTCGTAGAAGACGTGGAAGGCAAAACGAGACAGCGACAGTTAAAAGCATCCTGTTTTCATGCCCAAATTTAAGGTGTCTAGAGTCTCATCGTAATGGCGAAAATGTTGGGAATTTTAGAGAATTTGAAAAAGTTTTTGCTGGCCAGAAATTACGATGTATTCTTTTTCACGAGAAATAAGTCTGCACCTACAACATGAAATAATATCACTTAGTTTTCATATTGATCCTTATTGAGCCCTTTTAGGGCCATCTTACAACCTCATAGCTTGGGTATCCACCCCAGCTGACCCATTCCGGGTCTTTTAAAACATGGCATCTGTAGTTATGCAGACGTTCCTAATATAAGGTGTGTGAATTTTCAATTCGATCCAACATTAAAGAGTTTTTTGTTGCTGTGGTCATTTTGACACACCCTCGTGGATGTCCACGCGCGTGTATGAACATTTCAATGGGTCGCTTGTACCATGAGAACAATTACGTCCGATTTCGACGTGTCGTTCTCTTTCATCCTGAAGCCCAAATCCCACATTATTCCATCTTAACGGCCACGGCTGCTGAACAGAATCTTTCTTCTTAATACCCATGTTGTATCAAGGTCTCTTTGGCGGACCCTTGACGGAGCGATTCGGCAGCAGGGTCTCAGGGATCATTGGCGGTACTCTGACTTGCATCGGTTTCTTCTGCAGCTGTTGGGTGACCGACATAGTTCAGCTCTACTTGACAATGTTTGTAGCCGGTAATTTACTTTCTGTTTATACAGAGCACCTAGATCTTTACTTCAAATGTCGAAGGAACACTGAAACGGACAACTTTTACCGCAGGGAAAAGTTGGCGGCAAACTTGTCTGGTCGATTTTTGCTCGTGGAGATGGAAATTGCACAAACAATGATAAACGTTTACTACAGTTAAGGTTGGGATAAGGAACAAAATTGAGAAACCATTATCGGTGAAGATTCCTCGCTAACGGGCTGTTCAAACAATACTCTTATTACACAAAACCTCCGTTGAAAATGAAGGTGTCTTTTATTTTATTGTTTTTTCAGGAACTGGCATGGGCATCTGCTATAATTCACTTGTAGTCGCAGTCGCAATGTACTTTAAGAGGAAGTACAAAGTAGCCAATGCCTTGATGTCGTCCGGCTGTGGAACAGGGATCATGGCTGGTCCGCCGCTTATCCAAGTTCTCCTAGAACACTACGGTTGGCGGGGAACCTTGCTGATCGCATCTGCCATAGCGGCAAACATCATCACACTTTGTGCACTGTTCCGCCCGATTCGAGCGCCAAGAAAAACCCCGTTGCGGATGGCCTCGCGGTATGAGGGAGAGACCCCACGCAAAGGTGTTGCAAATGATAGACGAAATAGCGATGAGGATTCTGGCCGTGATGTCGGTGCGCTCGAGGTTGAAGGGGCGCATACAGTGCATGGTCCTCATTCGAAAAGCAGGACGCGTCACGTCTCTCTCAAAATGGTATCCAAGAACTGCAATCCAATTGTAAATTTAATGAGAAGGTTGTCAGTTTCTTTCGGTTTTCAGCTTTTGGTGAAAAGCTACCGCTTTGCATTGCTGTGCACCCTCCAGATTTTGTACTACTGCGCATACATGGGGTTCTTGCTTTACCTCGTTCCCAGAGCGCAGAGCTTGGGTGTGGCGCCCTCTAGTGCCGCCTTCTTGCTGAGTATATTAGGTATCGGGAGCTTGCTCGGTCGACTGGGACACGGAGTGTTTGTCAGCTGGAAGATATCAGCCGAGCACGTGACCGCCATCTCCATGGTGATAGCCGGTATATCGCTACTGATCACGGGCCTGGAGAGTTACTACAGTTTCGCCATAGCGTCATCTCTCCATGGATTTGTGAGTGGGTACTTTTCCGCCGTAGTGCTCATTCTAATCCGCCATTTTGTTGGCGTGAAACAAATGGCTGTTGCTTCAGGAATCAATCAGATTTTTGTCGGGCTGGGCACGGTAATCGGGCCAATCGTAGCTGGTAAGTGTGACATATTAAATAAAAAACTTTCAGTAAATACTAAATCATGATGCTCCAGAGTGTACATTTTTGTGAGTAATTGGACAGAAATGTGTAAGGGTTAGCAGTTAAATCCCACTCGACAAAGGGCAAAAATACAAGGCAGGTACCACGATTAAATTCCCCCGTCGGAATTGGCATTTCCAAGGAGTTTTAAGTGAATACATGAGCAGTAGTTGAAGAAAGCGGGAATGGTATTGGGGGAAAATGACAGCTTCGTCGTTAGAAAGTATAAAGTGGAGCAACCCGAAGGCAATTTTGCAAGAACGTGTTGTTTTAAGTACTATTAGAAACGTTCCACTCTATTCAGTGCTGGATCGGTAATCAAAAGTGGAAGAGGGAAAAGCCAAGGAAGAAAGTGTAAGGCAACTAAACCAAATCGGAATCTTATGTAACGTGGAAAATTTGGCATTTGTTGGAAAGGTGAGGTGGAATGCAAAGCGCGTTGTGGCATAGAATTACATATATTTCCATACTTGCCATATGCACCTGCCCATAGGTACATTTACAAATTTTGTCCTAAAATCTTATCAGTTTTCCAGACAAGAACAAAGGAAACGGCTTCCTTGCTGCCCCACTGATTTACGCTATAACGATTGGTTCAACAGGTGCTATTCTGGACTTGACCTCGTCTAACTACCAGGCGGTCTTCTACATTCTCAGCACGGCCTACTTTATCTGTGCTGCTCTAATGTTCCTCTTGCCAAAGCTGAAGAGGGTGGAACCGGGCGAGAACGTCGAACCTACCGACGTTTGAAGGAACAAGCAAGGCTTGTGGGGCACAATAATTTCATTGTGAACACTGATTAATCATGCGTTCTCATGGTTGAAAGAAAGTTCAGCCTCGGAGCATACGTTTCTTGATAATGTTGGTCATAATCTTGTGTGATTAATGTCATGCTTTCAGATGGTTTGACTCGTCATGCTTTTTGTGTACCAGTATTAACGACGTGTTGTCAGAATGTATATTAAACATTCCTGCGTTTGGGCGTACCTTCAGCACTCTGTGGCAGAAGTGGGAAGATATTTTTAATAAGGGAATAAATGTGTGCTTGGCCAGTCTTAAATGTGCCTGACCGGCTGAGGAGAATGGACGCAATCAATGCCCGAGTCTCAGGGGAGGGCATATCAGCGTTCAGTCTCCTAAGCCCGAAAGACCGGCCAAGCACATATTTATTCCCAGTCATTAATACCTTTTTTTAAGTCAGAGAGTCAAAAGAAGAAATGTTGTAGAATTTTACTTTAATGTCCCCAACCTCCCCCGTCAATTTTATTTTATAGTTGTACAAAACAATCTCCTTATATGGATACCGTGCACCGTATGGGGCGGAGGGGTACCCCCCCCCACATGTCCAATCCCAATACACACTCTAGACAATAGTTACCTAACACATCCCCCAGATATCTGTCATGAATTCCCGAGATTCTGATCAAACAACGACCAGCACAAAGGTTGGGGGGTGCTCTCCGCCCCATATCTTGCATGATATGCAAAATACACCAGACCCAGGCTGATATATCAGTGGTAGCACGCTTTTGGGCAGGTGATTCGTGGACATTTTTCGACCAATGTCGTGCTGATCATGCGTGCCTCATGTTCTACGGTCGAACCCGCCTTATCACGGACGTCATATTGAAAATCTAGACTCGCAATGCCTTTGTAAACCGACTGAAACCACCGGCGGCCATATCACCGTGCCGAATACGAAGGTGATGGCCGGCTACTTTGCCATTGTAACCTTGATGCCAGGAACGAATACGGTTAATAACAGCAAGCCTGTGTATTGCCCTTTTATTCGGTACGTTAAAGATGGCCACCAGTGGCTTTAAGGACCTCTGTGTGTCAGTTAAAGGCATTACGGGTCCAGATTTGTTTACAGGAAGTCTGTAGCCTTTGTATTCTCCCCACATTCTGTAATGTTTACTTATATTCTTCAGAATTCTTGCAGCTACTTTTAAACTGATCATTTAAGCGGACCTCCTTGATGGCGCAGTTAGTGAGAATTTCACTTTTTAAATCAACATCATTCCCGAGACCAATCTTTAATCCTTCAATAAAAAGGAAGATTTCATTAAGTTTAAAAGGTTTTGGACAGATACACACCTTTAAGAAGTTAAAATAAAAATTATTCAAACAGTTGCCGAGAAGTCTCCGACGTATGAATTGCTGAGTGCATGCCCAGTGTGACCACAACGTCCCATGACTCAACAATGGATTACGCTGCACGTGTGTCGGCTTTCTCCACTTCAAAAATATGTAAGAAATGAGACCCAAGGGTACCCCCCATATGTCCATTCGCCATACACACTCTATTGACACTTGTTACCTAACACATCCCCCTCCCATGTCTGAAAAGAATTCCTCAGATTCCAGTGAGACAATGACCAACACAAAGCAGGGAGGGCTCTCTCTGTCTCATATCTTGCTTCATTACGTTCAAGAATGTTTCTGCTCGAGAAATGTTGATAGACGATACATTAAGGGTAGGCTTTAAAAAGCACACTTGGGGCACAATATGTGGCAAAGGGGGAGGCCCCTCTTTTGTGTCTTCTTTTGGTTGACGGAATATTTGGAATTCATTTCGGATTTTCAAGGAGGATGAAGTAGGCACAATAGCCTTAGGGTATGTCGCTCGCGCACCACATTGGGGAGTCCCCCTTTGTCACATATTGAAGAGGTTACTGTAGGCCTACGTAGTTGACACTGATAACGTCGTGTTGGGCCTAGTGGAGTTTGATAATGGTAGCCATATCGGAAATGTACACTGCCCTGTTTTTGGTGACGTACGTTCGTATTCATTATGTACTA